GCCAGTGTTTGGATTTGCCGTGCTAGTACCGCTGGTCAAAAAGTTAAATTTTTGGACTAAATGGACAATTTGGAAGTTGGACTACCCTGTCAGTGTGTGTTTGCAATAGTTGAACACTCAAGTAGGTGATTGTTGACAGCTCAGTTCTTAGATGTTTTCTATATATTCCAATAGGGGCTGGAATTAGTGGGCTGTGCCCTTTAGTACCGGCCGGACGTGACTTGGCGGCCGCAAGTCTCGCGTGAAGCGGAACGTTATCTCACGCTACGGCTCACGGGAAGGGTCAAAGGTCACGAAAAAAGCAGACGACCCTGACAGAAATATAATATTCACAGACATACCTGTATATTTTCCAATTACAAGGCTCATATTCACAATTTTTATATTCTATAGTAAAGTTTTAGGTTTAATGAAAGTTAGGTTTAATACAAGGGACCACCGGCTACGTCCCCAACCGAAATGACGACTGCAACCCCCTCACACAATGCCCAAGCGGGGTTCAAGCCTTCAAATTGCCCCCAGGACGCACGGAATTTGACCTCTTGGGATAGCTTGCCGTCTCCAAATTCATAATTTTGACGAAAGCCCATGTTCCATCATATTCAAAATTCAAATCCTTTAATAGAAATTTAAAAAAATGCTCACACAAAATAATACAACCATATTCCCTTACACACACTGCGCCAACTCATTTTCCACCCTACATCTGCTTGAAGATTAGCGTCAAGCCCCAAGCTAGTCCCGTGGCCGAGTAGCCGGTGTCCAATCTACCGTAGTTGGGGCAGGCTGTCTTCGGAGCTCTAATAGTTTTCCCCCGTCCAGCTCAACAGACCGCCCGGTAGGAGTTACGACTGTGATATAGACTTTTGCACGCCGGGAGTTGGTTGGGCTAATCGACTTCCCTTCGTGAAAAAACCTACCGGGGAACCTAGCTGAGGCGGGCGGGGAAGAGAGCCCCGAAGCCCCGAAGAAAATCTGCCCCAACCACGATAGACTGGATACCAGGTTAGTTGCCAACGTATCGTTCAACAAACGTCGCTTTTCAAAGCGTGTCTTTCACCACAAACGCTGTACAGCACTACACCGTACTTGAACCCTACTGCATTCTTTTAAGGGCTATTCATTGCAAACTTCTAGTGTCGTATTTTTGCTAGTTCCGGAAAGCGTTGTCAAAATTAAGTTTCTAACAGTGTTGGGGAGGGATATTAATTAATAGATATTATATAATTACATATCAGACTATTAAACATTATCATATTAGACTATCAAATATTTATAGTAGTGCCCCCTCCCCTTAAAAATACCTGACACATTTTTTTCGAAATATTTATGATTGTGTTGTGATCGAGGAATTAAAAAAAAAGATATTATACTTTCTTTCTCTAATTCCAGGACATTCACTTTCCTGTGGAGATCTATACTTTCTTCACATTTGCATAAATTTGTGATATTTTTAGCTACAACTGTCATTCTGGTATGATCGTTTTTCATTCAAGGGTTGGGCCCACAAAAAAACAGGAGCAAGACAAAGCTTACACTCCCACAAAGTCAACAAGCTTCTGACGGCTAAACAAGAAAAGTACACATCATCACAGGCCCCCCGACCTCATTAGTACACAGAATGACAGGCTAGGCCACACCAAGTAAATTTTATGGATGACGTCCTTTGAAGACCCTAAATCTAATGCGAGTGGGCGAAAAAAAAAAACAAGAAAGGCCCTAAAAAACAAGATGCCTAGATTAGAAATATACTAAGAGATGACAAATGTTAGGACACAAATTGAATGAGGTGACACAGTGTAACAAGCAAGAAGTCTTTTATTCATCATCAAAACAGCAATAAATCAGGTGGAATAGCAGTTGTCGTCCTGTCCTGTTTTCGCGTTACGGGTTTCACGTCAATCTGACGATTTGAGGCACTGTCGTGACTCTTTGGTCATGGTTACAGGAAGCAGAATTTCTTGTTTTTTTTTCTAGGAACAGGCCAAAATCAATGCGCGCGCGGACGTCATCCATAAAATTTACTTGGTGTGGCCCTATAAAATAAAACTTTAAAAGGAGACATGCTTTGGAAGCAAAAATTGGCGACAGTTTTAAACATCAAAGTGCTAGAATCTTTGTTTTGTATACAAGACTGTTCAACTAAAAGTGGCAAATAAGTGTCGTAATTGTGGCACTTTTGGACAATTTTATGACCGAAACTGTATATACATAAACACACGTTGTTGATTTTTAAAGTCTCGCGAACTCTCTTAGATGTTGTATGAAGGATAGTTATTCCTCCTTGTTTTAGTATAACAGTACTGAATATGGTTGCATAGACACTCACATGTGATAGCTTTAATATCTATAAAAATCATAATTATTCGTAACAACAACACAGAACAATCCACGACTCCTTGCTTAATTGCACTTGCCTTTTTGTATAAACGCCTTAATATTTTCTTAAGGTGAAGAGAGGACTTTTACTTGTATAACTTGAAATTCTATCTGTTTTAAGGGCATCCCATGCAATTTCAGGCGTCAAAAATATTCTGGAAAAGGATATCTGTTTGACAGCAAATTTTCGTACTTTGAGCGTTTGAAATAGCCCCCAAAGAAACAAGCTACGTAAGGTCGATACCAGGCTCACCCTACAATACAAAACAAGCAACCGTTTTTAGTCAGTGACATCGCATTTTTGCCTCACAAATACCAGTATGCTATTGAATAAGTTTGATTTAACTTTCTACATTAAAAGAATGGCCGGAAATTTGACTTGAATTTAAACATCCAGTTTTGCTGCCCTGAAATTTCAATGGGTGCCATGTATGTTGTAGGATATAGTATAATGCTAGACGTAGATATAGTCTCACATACCACTGTATTTAATGCTAGACGTAGATATAGTCTCACATACCACTGTACTTAATGCTAGACGTAGATATAGTCTCACATACCACTGTATTTTCTTTCTTATGTTCTTTGTAACTGCAATTAGCCCTCGGGCAAGGATATTCAATAAACTTTCAATAAACTTTCAGATAATGTCATGAGATACCTTTGCTGAGGTGTTCCCACGATGTAATGTATTGTTGAAGTGAGCTGTTTACAGACGGTACGCTGTGCTCGGTCGGGCTGTGCTCAGTGAAGTGGGCGGCGTACCGTGGCCGACAAGAACAAAATTTTACACCGCAACTTTTGGTGTTTTACACCGCAACTTTTGGTGTTTTACACTGCAACTTTTGGTGTTTTACACTGCAACTTTGGGTGTTTTACACTGCAACTTTTGCTGTGTTTTACACTGCAACTTTTGCTGTGTTTTACACTGCAACTTTTGCTGTGTTTTACACTGCAACTTTTGCTGTGTTTTACACTGCAACTTTTGGTGTTTTACACTGCAACTTTTGCTGTGTTTTATACTGCAACTTTTGCTGTGTGGAAAACTTACAACCCTCCCCTTTTATAATGGACGGTCCCCCTGTCAGGTCAAAGGTGACAAAGATGGCGGCGGCCTGAGAGTCACAGTGTCGTGCTGTGACTGAGTGAGAGACATCAACAGTTAAGATTTCTCCTTTTTGGTGAATCTATTTACAATTGTAGCGGTTTTAAGTTAAAAATTGCATCCTACTGTAGTAGTTTGTGTAGGAAAAATCGTACCGAACCATTCTTTTCTCAGCATATTTTGTGCACATGTGAGGTCAAAAATATTTGAAGACGTGCGGGTTTTTTTTGGGAGGGGGGGCATAAAACTAAAGATTGAGTTCAGATAACATTGTCAACCTACCAATAAATTGTAACTGTCATCGTTTTCTTATAATTTGTTCTATTATTATTAATCAGCATTAGCATTAGCGTCAGGTACGTGTGTGTGGGGGGGCGTTTCTATTATTCTATATTTGCAGCTGCAGCAAGGCTTTTCGACGTCCCTGATTGCAGAAAGAATTTGTTGTCGAGTTTTTAATGTCACATGACAAAAGATGTTCTTTTATTACTTCAGTCATGGATCGCCCCCTGCCTCAAGAACTATGACAATGGTAAGGAATTGTAATATTGATATTTTTGTTATTCAACTTCAAAATGTTTTCATATCATACTTCTACTCAATATAATTGTTACATGTACTTTACAGCCAAGATTATGTGTACTACTATCCCTGGTTATGTTGAAGTACATATTTGTCTTTTTTGGAAGTGTCAAATACAGCCAATTTCAACAGTTCCAGCAACTGTAAACCCTTTCTCCCATGAACCCCCAGTAAATCTGTATCTATAATAACCGGCTATATAGATACAAAACACACCATCTTATCTTGATTTATTTACATCCTTTTATTTATCTGTTAGTTAGTAACTGTTACATGTACATGTATATGCATGACATTACATTGTACCTAAATGGATGATAAATAGAGTTCTTTTTTGTCTTCTCTATGATCTGTCTACAAGCCACAAGTCGCTTCTCTATGATCTGTCTACAAGTCACATTTTTTGGTATATTGCTGATTATGGCTTCATGGATTAAAATGTAATGATGTAATATTTTTGTATGACCAATACTTGTATGACTTACAATATGGTTGTCTATGGTTGTCTTTCCAGAGGAGGAACTTCTGGTAGAGTACTGGAAAAGAGGCTATCAGTACTCTTGAGATCTCAACATTTTTTAGCAACTTTCATGACGTGGATCTAAGGCAGGTAGTACTATATATTATATCAGGGGGAGCTTCATTTGAACACTCTTATGTGTACATGTTTGTCATGTGTTAAAGAAATGCTTGTTATTGTACAATTGTTAAAATATTGTAGCATCAATGTTTTCTACCAGCACAGCTCTTAATGTTGAATAAGGGTGGCTAAGCAGTTCTTTAGAAAGAGATGGTCAAGGAATATCATGGTGTACATGTAAAATAACTTTTAAAAGATGCAGAATGCCTCATCATGATAGACTGTCTCTACATGATGTATTGTGTTATATGGTGTAGTGTATGAATATGATCTGAAACAACAGTTTTGTTTTTCAATCTTATTTCAAGGGGAACAAACTAGGCAATTGTGCTGTCAACAAACCAATTTATTTATTTATTGTATACAGTGTGCGGCAGCTAAAGTACAGGTACAACAAGCTTGGGCTATGAAGGCGTCTTGGCACCAGCTCCAATGCAGAAGTGAGGGAGGCCATCCGGGTACGAGTTATCAAGTGTATAGCACAACACTTCCCATTTAAATCCAAATTTCAATAGTCATGTACTCACCTGTAACATTTCCTGTACATTTGTATCTCGTATAAAAGTATTCAATCAGTAATCAATGATTTATAGTTTATCCATGTGACCCTTCCCCCTGATCCCATACTGTACTACAGAAAAGCTATGTACACAGTACATCACATGAAGTTTCTTCATGTGAAGTTGTCATCAAACAAATCATGACGGTACCAGTTTGTGATTGTAAGTGGTGTTTCTAATGAAAGTCATGAAAGCATCTCAAAAATTGTATGTGTAGTATCACTGTAAGTAGTTGCACATTAGATAGGGTATTAAATAAAGCACTTTCTGAATAATGTTGATAGGTCCTTCATGTCAAGTTGTTGTCAAACAGATCATGACAGTACCAGTATGTGATTCTATGTGATGTTAATGTTATGAAAATCAGGAAAGCATCCCAAAAATATATGCAGTATCACTGTGACTAGTTGGCAATGCACGCAAGTCTAGCGTCTTACAACTAACAGTATAGCAATCCTAGTGTACAGTTGTGGATATGGTATATCAAACACAGAATTAAAAATACTGTTACTATTACTTGTTTCTAAAAGCATAACAAACTTACATTGTACTGTTCTCATGAATACTGTGATGATGTAATATGATGATGTACATGTACTTTCTCCATAAACAATGTTAACTGCCATTAGTATGTGTGGAAAAGCATATTTCTTAGTGTTGCAGTAGACTGCCAGAGTTCTTGTTGCAGGTAAAGCCGAATATTCTATCAATTTACATTACAAGTTGTGGAGTTCTTGTTGCTGGTTAAGAGTTCTTGTTGCTGGTTAAGTCTTGTGATGACATAATATTACAAGTTAAGTGTGTGAGAAGATCAGTTCCTCTACATCTGTTACAATAAATAAATCACCAAAGGACCACCAATTAAGTGGACACATAAACTAGGTGTTCTGTGTACAGGTTTGATGTATATTAATTTGCAATTGCCACCAGCTCTCGGTACAGTGTTAATAATAACCTTTATTGTACATTCATGCCCTATCGGGCTAAGTACAGGTGAACAGATGAAATAGGTAATATACATGTTTGTCTTACAAACAGCTTTAAAACTACTCTAATACAATGGTTCGGCTTTTTCTCGTTTCTTTGTAATGTTAAAAATATAATTTGAGATGTGTTTGTATAATGCAGGATGATCAAAGCGCATAAGAAAGATGCATCATCGCAATTTGTGGGATACCTCTTATTTAACCTTTGCAACATATCACATAAGTAGCGATGAAATCTGTCATTCCCAACAAGTGAGGGTGATGTGCACTCTCGCTGTGCATGGTGGAGCATCCTCGCATCCACGTCTTGTAGTAGGTTTTCGGCCCCCTATTTAGACCAGAGATGGAGAAAATTAGTACATGACTAAAGATGATAACTTATTTTTATACAATAAACACCAATCATTATTTATTTCCAGATCCTTCTAACAAATTCAATTTTACATGTATAAGGGCAACAAAGGTACAAATGAAAAATAAGTAAGGAAATGAGTAGCTAGCTTTGGCAAGGGGCATTATCTTGGATGCAATGTTAAGCTGACGGTTTCATATTTGAGGAGAGCCATACATGTACCTCAACCATATTAAAGATCCACGTATCGACACTATCTTGAAGTGAATGGATCAAACTTTACCATCCCGTCTAACGCAGAGTGTACTAAATGTACAAAACTGATGTTTCATGCCAAATGGCAGTGTCTAGATTATGCCCCAAAACAACCACTTTACCTGAAAGGTGTGGCAGGAAATAAAGTGCATTTGGACGGCCAGCAGGTGCACCGTGACCAGGCAGCTTCCTTCTGTCATTCCAGCCTTGCGCAAAGCTATTCAGGTCATCTGATAACAAGGACATCATGCAGAAGCGGATACACCAACTGAAATGATGAAAATTGGGAAAATTTACAAGATGAATATCACACTGATATAAGCAATAAATATAGAAGGCCATAATGCTATACCTGGCCACCATGCAATTTCTAGATCAGGGAAAAAAGGGTATTAGATCTGGTGACAAAACACAGAAAATAGAGAAGACAAAGAAGTTGAAGCTTCAGCTTTAAACCATCACAGATGCGACCTGTGTTACCTGAGTATATTTAATGAAGTAGATATGCAGTGCAAGGAAGAACAATAAATACTCACATATGAATGGTATTCCCAACTTCTAAGTCACCATCTCTGACTAGTTCCTAAAAACATTGAAAAATATACATCTAGCAAGCAGTATTACATTGCATAAGTATGTGCTACATACAGATATCCACATTTCTCATATTCTGTGACATTGTTAACTACCTAATTTCCAAAACCCCTTCTTGAGTTATCCTCTAAAATTTCAGCAAAAACTCCATCTGCATTCCAGAACAGGCTGCTACGTAAGAGGCTGAAACGAACATGTATAGAATAATAGAAACGCCTCCCCCACACACACACCTACCTGACGCTAATGCTAATTAATAATAGAACAAAGTATAAGAAAACGATGACAGTTACAATTTATTGGTTGGTTGACAATGTTATCTGAACTCAATCTTTAGTTTTATGCCCCCCCCCCAAAAAAAACCGACACGTCTTCAAATATTTTTGACCTCACATGTGCACAAAATATGCAGAGAAAAGAACGGTTCGGTACGATTTTTCCTACACAAACTACTACAGTAGGATACAATTTTCAACTTAAAACCGCTACAATTGTAAATAGATTCACCAAAAAGGAGAAATCTTAACTAGTCTGTTGATGTCTCACAACACTAACTCTCAGGCCGCCGCCATCTTTGTCACCTTTGACCTTATTGAGGGACAATTCTTTGTAAAAGGGGAGGGGTGTAAGTTTTCCACACAGTAAAAGTTGCAGTGTAAAACACAGCAAAAGTTGCAGTGTAAAACAGCAAAAGTTGCAGTGTAAAACACAGCAAAAGTTGCAGTGTAAAACACAGCAAAAGTTGCAGTGTAAAACACAGCAAAAGTTGCAGTGTAAAACACAACCAAAAGTTGCAAGTGTTAAACACCAAAAGTTGCAGTGTAAAACACCAAAAGTTGCGGTGTAAAACACCAAAAGTTGCGGTATAAAATTTTGTACTTGTCGGCCACGGTAGCGGCGTGACAGAGCCTCAGAGGGTAGCGTCATGTCAACAACTCGATAATCGTAATGATATGCGTTTGGGCGCGGTCATTTCAGTGCGTTGTTTTGCGCTCGTGCCAACATCTCAATAGCGTTTGGGCGCGGTCATGTCAGTACGTTGTTTTGCGCTCCTGGCTGGCAAGAGTCACGTATTTGGGTAATATTTTTGTAGAAACAGATAAAAAAAACCCTGATCCCGGGCCGGGGTTCGAACCCACGACCTCCCACCACTCCGCTAAAAGGTCTAGACCCATCGGCCGAATCAGTTGGTAGCGACTATAAACCCCCTACTGTTACAACATAACCGCATATTTCTGAAAAGAATCTTTTAAAAACCTTTTATAATCACACATGATTTTAATCAGAGATTTCTTTAAATGAATTTGGGATGGACCAAATAAGACATTCTGTGTCTTTAGTTTTTGGGTACCATCCATAAATAGTTAGAAACAGTCTTCGGTACAACACTAGCAACCGTTTTTCGTCAGTGACATGGCCTTTTTTTATATTCCAACATTTCATGACTAGGCATGGTGACAGCACACTCAAGTTATATTAACTTATTTTATATTCCAACGCATATAACGAATACAGGACAAGACAATACTCATTTTTACTTGAGTTAAGTGAGGAAAGTCGTGTAAAGTGCCTTTCCCAGGGGCACAAGATCGGTGGTATGTCAGGACTCGAACCCGGGACCTTGGTTCCGAGTCGAGCACGCTGCCGCTATGCCACACGATCCCACAAATGGAATTTTTGCCTCACAGATATCAGTATAATATGGAGTAGAGAGTTAATTCAACTTACTACATTAAAAATTGACCATGAAACTGATCACGACATTAAAAATTGACTTTATAAATCCAGGTTTACTGTCCTGAAATCGCTTTGGGTACCTTTAATATTCATAGCTATGATCATGATAGAAAACAGACTCCACTAATATGATTGATGATGATTGTCCTGTCTCCTGTCAATCATTTAAAAGGGCGCGCTGAGATGATTAATGCAACAGTCCTCTCTACACGTCAATCAAACTTGTCTGAACGTCAGTCATTGGATAAAAGAGCGCTGAGATGATTAATGCAACAGTCCTCTCTACACGTCAATCAAACTTGTCTGAACGTCAGTCATTGGATAAAAGAGCGCTGAGATGATTAATGCAACCGTCATCATCCGCACGCCAATCACTTTAAAACTAATGACTTAATTTTAAACTTGACCAATCACTATCGTTCTATCCAATCATCAATCATTGAAAAGACTAACCGTTGACGTTGTTTGTTACGATAGTACTGTCGAACTGTCAATCATTTTAAAAGGCGCACGGAGATGATCCATGCAACCGTCCTTTCCGCACGTCAATCACTTTGAAACCAATGACTCAATTTTAAACTTGACCAATTACAATCGTTCTATCTAAAAATCAATCATTGAAAAAACTAACAGTAGACGCGATTCGTTACAATCGTCTTGTCTACCTGTCAATCATTTTAAAAAGGCACACGGGGATGAATAATGAATCGTTCATTCTGCACGTCAATCATTTTGAAACTAATGATTTCATTTCAAACATGACCAATCACCGTCGTTGTCTGAACATCAATCATTTAAAAGACTAACAGCAGACGTGATTCGTTACAATCGTCCTGTCTACCTGTCAATCATTTTAAAAAGAACTGCTGAGAAGATTTATTGCTTTCGTCACGTTAATATATCAATCATTTTCAAAATAACGTCTACAAACTTGACCAATCACCATTGTTCTGTCTGAATGCCAATCATTAAAAAGACTAAATGTAACAGCAGACGTGATTCGTTACTATAGTACTGTCATAACTGTCAATCATTTTCATAAAGAAATGATCTTTTAGGGCACGCCCTGTCTGTGTTTCAATAATTGAATATGATTTATTGCTATACTTTTGTGCATAAGTTTATATGGAAGTGTGAAAAGATTTTCATGTCTGTATATGACAATGATAGACAACATATAGCGTGTTAAGTTGAGCGGCGAAGGACAGTTTTTGTGTAAAGTGAACGGCATATAACTAGAAAAGTAACATTTCCAATGCATATGCATCTGTATCTGTAGAGCCGGTATAACCGCCTTTCGGCGTAACACACCAGCTTCACAGGCACGCGGCGCAGCGGCAGCTGGCTATATTACACCGACTTGTTACACCTAACCCTTGAACTTCTAACTCTAGACATTGTTTAAAGCTATCTATTGACAATGCCCCTACTGTACTTGGTGACAGTGAGTTCCACTCTGTGATAGTTCTAGGAAAGAATGAATTCTTGAACACCTCAATCCTTGGTTGATAACTCTGGTACTTGAAGGCGTGGCTATTTCTTGTTCTCTTCTGGGCTGGTATTAGGTACTTAGTAGTTGGGACGTCCACCAGTCTATTAGTCATTTTGTACATCATGCATAGTCTGGACATCTTTCTTCTCTCTTCCTGTGAGGCCCACTGTAGGTATGCATGATGTTTACCTTCGCATATGGTCTGCTCTGTTAATTCTTACTCTAACACATTTTCATATATGGTGACAGAAGTCTAAATCCCTCCTGCTATAAAATTGCAACATTATGTAACCTAACACCAGTTACCATGGAGAGACAGTCTGGTTCAATTGGGTCAGAGGTCACTGTTTGTAGAAGAAGAAGAAGAAGAAACGTAGCAAAAACAATATGTTTTCCTTCGGTAAACATGAAAATTAAACAAAAACTAAAGGTCGGTGTAAAGATCATGCATAAAGGATAGCCTGAGGACCACCGGCTTTACGGCCCCAACCGAATGAATGAATGAGTGTACCGAGCGGGGCTAGAACCTGTGCCCCCTCTAGATTCATACAGGTTCCTCCATACAACAAATTGTAGAGTGGGTTCTCTTACTCTCCAAGCTGAGGTTTGGGTTTTGGCTTATTTTTTGGCGTGTTTAGGCTTTTCATGGGGGTTTCTTTTTTTGCACTGGAATGACTGGATGAAAAAAAAAAATTAAAAAGTACAAAAAAGAAACCCCGATAAAAAAAGCCAAAACCCAAACCTCTGCTTGGAGAGTAGGGTTCTCTACGTCAATCAAATCCATGACGCCAGACTACACATGAATCATCATATATCATTTATAATTAGAGTGGATCTATAAATGGGGTGGATTACCATGGATAAACGACTTGACAGATTATCACAATGCCCGGGCATGTTTAACGCTAAACAGGTAGCATTTTGACAGCCATTTTATGAATACAAGTATCAGGGTAATATAAGGACGAGGACAATTGTTTATTGACAGAACTTAAGTACCGTACCACGGGAACTTTTTTTCTATCATGTGCTAATGTAAACAATAGCCTGGATTGTAACACTCCTGGCTAATCATTGGTTTACAGCAAAGTTGCAAAGTTCTAGCTACATGCAGAAGTCCTGGTGGTGGAGAGAAGATGCCGGTGTACTCTTGTTTTGAATGACTAGAGGTTGTTGTCAGTGATCAGGCCGACCATGTTGTCTGGGAGATTGTTCCAGATGTGTACTGCAGTATGTATGAAGGTTCTGCCGGTGGAGTGAGTTCTAGAGACTGGCACAGTGAGGGCATGTTTACCAGTGGAGAGACTGCTGCGGGTTGTGCGTCTGATTGTGTAAGGTTGGAAGCATCTTTTTCGCAATGCCTTCCACACACAGCCCAAAAACCGACATTTTTAAAAGTAAACTTTCCTCAATATGTAAAGAATTATTAAAGGTGGGAAAATATTTCGGCAGACTTTACGACTTCGTAAAGGCCGCTGAAAGGCAAAGTTCGCCTTTCCGTCACCTTTCAGTGTGCTTAAATACGACGTAAATATAATACATACATTTACGCTTACCTTTACAAGTCCGTAAATACAACTCAAGGACTACAACAGCCTCTGAAGCCTGGTAGAGGCTATGCAACATTGTGCCCTACTAAACACTGTGGATTGAGGCATCCAATGCGATTTCAGGGCAGCAAAACTGGAAATATTTTGATTGAGGCAATCTTTGTGATATTGACACATACTGCTTCACATTGCTACATTTGAGTCAGCATTTCATAATTTGGGCTTTAAAAACTGCAGAAAGAAGCCCCAAGATGAGTCCTTTATTTTCTGGGTGGTACCCTAAAAATCAGCCCTTCCTGTAACCATTTTCCGTCAGAATTTTGGGAATTTTTGCTCCTGAGGGTCAATATACATTGGGATAGTGTTGTTTCAACTTAGTATACTAGATAAATGACTGGAATACTAGTATTGGCTCTGAGAAATCGAGTTTACAGGTCCTAAAAACTGCACTCGATGCCTTAAAAAACAAACAAACAAACAAACAAACAAACAAAGATCTAGACAAAAAAACTCAATGCCTACAAAAAGTCTACGGGGCTACCTTTACCTCTTACCTGGTACGGTAGTACCTATAAGAAAACTGTCTATTAGAAGTTAAAAATTACACAATACACAAGGTACAGAGGCGAGGAATGTGTGAATTCTTCTTCTATTCATCGCTTTTTCACAAAGCCACGGTCATTAACTACCTTGTGTTTAGTCTGAAATGTGAAAAATGCCGTTCCCTGTGTAGGTCAGTATGTGTCGTCTGACTTAGGCCACAGCAAGTAAATTTTATGGATAACATCCTCCGCAGACTCCAAATCTAATTCGATAGGGCGAAAAAAACAAG